CAGAGGACACTCAGGAAAAAAAAAGTGTTATACAGAACAAAAACATCTAAAATTGCTTTTTCCCCATATACATATGTATTCAATTTCAGCGTATTAGCGTAATCGTTATGATTTTGTGCTCTCGGAACCGTTTACGTTAAGTTCGAAAACTTTAATGTAACATTCATGTTTGGTGTTTTTTACGTTACTTCAACAGGAATAATATAACACATTGTAAATGTTATACTCTGTTACATGTAGTTGGGTTTAGTTTTTAGAACTTTTCCAAAATTTTTTTGAAAAAAGTGCTTATTGAATTGTCTTTTACATGGGAATCGTGTTATACAGAAGTAAAAACTAAACTATAAATTTTAATAATGACGTTTACCTTCCACATAAAAAGATGGAGCCAGGGATTAATGTACGTAACTAATCCACACAACCGTTTTTTTGTTATAATAAATTGGGTTCTTTATTATAATAGTATACTGCACTTATAATGTTATACATTTAAACTGTTATTTGGTTTCAAATGCACTGGTATAATTTTTAGGTCTTTGTTTGAATTATGATTTGGAATAATCTAATGGAAGGGATTATTCGAAAAAACTACCAAAATTAAATTGCAAACTTTTCAAATAATAAAATTGTCGGATTTTGTCGATATACTTAGTTTGAATAAAATTTTTGAATGTATTTCAATTTAGTACGCTTTAGAATACAAGCCAAAATATTAAAAAATTATTTTCGGAAAATTGAAAGAAAATCTTTTATTATGCGTACCTTTGTAATGAAATCGCCAAATTTTAAAAATTTCTTAATGCTTAATTTTTCTTGTTTTAATCAACCTTAATTCGATTATAAAATTTCTTATGTATTAAATTTTTTTCCTATAACAATTTGGTGATATCACATTATTTTTATTCAAATACCCACATGTGTGGCAATTAAATATACAAATTATACTTTTTTTTTCAAAAAAAAAACACAAAATTCTATTGATATTGATTAAATAAAAATAGGCATAAATTAAAATAAATGAAAGGTATGAAATATGTGAAAGGTTCAGAGAAAAACCAGAATAACTAAATTAAAAATTAGTGTAAGAATTAGAAGTCCAAATTGTTTAGAAAACTAAAATTTTGAAAACTAAGATCTTACTCCTCAAGGTTCTCTTACTGCAACCTGATAGAAGACAATGTGCTAAAATGAATTTGTGTAGTTATTTCATAAACCCTAGTTTTTATTGTATTCTCGTAGCTACTGCAATTAAAAGTGTTATACGTCATTTCAAAATTTGAAACCAACCAAATAAATTTTTTTTTTTCAATTGCACAACAAAATGAATTAACCGAAACAGAAAATTTCATTCAAAGACGTGACTCAACTTGTCCGAGCTTCTTAGAGAACACGTAAGAAAATTCGACCAAGAAAATAATAGTTTTAACAAATCTGCAGGATAGCTGAGGAAACCAAAATACACTTTCAAGTGGAACGAAAAACTAAAATTTGCAAGAGAAATTGAACACTACAGGACTATTTTCACGAAAGAGGGTTTCTATTCTGAGAGGGGGAGTGCCGAAGGATGTAAAAATTACTACAAATATTAGGAAAATTTTATGCTTTTATAACTAGTAAAACTGTTATTCACTGCCGAATTGCTTTTCATCGACATTAAACATGTACCATCAACACCATCGATATAAAACATTTGAATTTACATACATATATTTGGATACAAAACATAAAGTGACAAATATTAATAAGAAAACAAGGTAAGAACTTTTGTTAAAGATTAGTACAAACAAACGCGCGTTTATTTGGTTTAGCAAATTTTTATTTGTCGTATTTTATTGGTTTAACGTTGTGCCTCTTTTATGTTTACAGTTTTTGAAACGAAAAAAAAAAAACTTTTGAAAAGAAGAACAGTCGGTCAAACTTTTTCCGCCTATTTCACCAAATTTTACCACATATTTTACCGTATTGTTGAGTTTTCTTTTCCTAGCCATCCTTCTAATTACCATCCATGTCTTCCCAATTTCCTCTGTATTCCTAGCAATTGCTCTCCTTCAACCAATCCCACCTTTGCCTCTCGCTCTCTTCCAACCAATTCCATCTGACTGATGAAAATCCATCAATTTTTTCAGATAATTTTATCTGTTTTTCAATTTTATTTTACTTTGTTATTGCCCACAACTGTTTATACCACATTTGTTTCGGCCAGAATATTCCAGATATAATTTTCAGACCATTGTTCTCATTAAAGTATAAGAACATAACAACTTACGATTATTAACGCGAGAATCTTATTAGCCTGTTAACCTTCCGGTTTTTATATTTGATATGTATTCCAAAACACACCAGGACATTGGCCGCTTGTTTTTCGTTTATCTCTGGGATTTCACCAGGCATACCAACCGCTGCTTATTGCCCTTGTTTTTGAGTTTTAAATTTTCTTTCTTTTGTTGTTGTGGATCTTTAGTTGATGCTTAGATCTTCTTCAACATGCTTTCCCCAGTCCTTTGATCTTTGAGTCTTGCTTGTCATAGAAATCTTCTGTGTTTAATTCTAATGGTCTTTGTCTTTCGTATATTCTATCTGGTCATATTTATGTGTATATTCTATCAGAAGTTTTTTGTTCTGTCGCACTCCTTATCTCACCTTTTATGATCGCCCATGTCTCTTGTGACATCCACTGATATCCACTCCTTACAGTTAGACTGCGTAATTCGCAGAACCTCTACCACAGTTTGCCAAAATATTTCTAACAAATAATATCAGTTATTTTTTAAAATTCCTGACTATTGTAATTAGTTATGATTAATAATAGCTGCATAATAATAAATTTTTTTCTTATGTCTCATTCCAGTTTCTGTTGATGCCTGCCTCCCATTGTAATACGATTCCAAAAATTTCAAACCTTTATGGTAGTTCTCAAATAACTAACACTCATTGAATCCTAAAGTATTCCTTCAATTTCTTTAGAATCTCACAAGACTGTAAAATCAATTTTTCTTACAAATTCATCATATACCGTTACAACAAAGCATCAACAAGTTTCAACCATAAAGATGTCTTATTGCTTAATAATTTCTAAGTGTAATCAATTTGAATTTATAAAATTTTCTTTCTATTTATTGAGATCTATTATCGGTGTCAGCGGCTTTTTTAGTTTAAAATTTTTAAATATGTTTACAATTTTTCCACCACTCCTAATTACAAGATACTAAGCAATAACTTACTTTCATTAAAAGTGAAGCTAACCAGTATTTTGATAAAAATATTTATACAAAAGTTTCAGGAATAGCGAAGCTAAACCTAATAAAACTCATAACAAATTGTAATGACTTTTTACATGTCAGTTAGCTATGTTCATCACAGATACTGTTTAAAATTGTGCCAGACAAGATTCTAACCACATGAATTTGCACATTTGTCCATTTCAGAAATAGGCCTATTTTAACTATTTCTTTTCATACATTTTGATTTTCTCTTTTTTCTTTATTTTATATACATACATACATATATTTGTTGTTAACTGTACCTAATCAAAAATATTTGATTCAAGGTTATCTTTAATTAGATGTGTGCAAAATTAGACCGATTAAACTATAATAAAAATTCTTTTAGAACACTTTTTGTTTTCTTCACCTGGGATTTAGGAATTCTAATATTTTTACATTTTTGGTTTTTAATAATACAGAATATAAAATAAATTAATAAAACAGAACTTTTACGATATTTTAGCACAAACTATAAAATACGAATATTAATTTATTATTGCCTGCAGCACTTTTATTCGGGCCAATAATTTACAAAAAAGTGAGTCTTTGGCATTTTTCATTTAAAATAAACTAAACGTTAGAGGCTTAGTTTAGAGTGGACCGTCGATTACAGTTTAAAAATTACCCTAAAATTGCTTATAATAGCTTTTAAATTTCAAAGCATTTTTCACTTTTTAAGGTTGAATTCCAAGTGTCTATATAAGTGCCTATCTCCTTTCAACAATCTTTAACAAATAACAATATTCTATTATTCAATTAAAACATTAAAATAAATAAAATATTTTTAAAATTTTATTAGTATTTGTGAAAAATAAACTTGTTCAAATTTGAAGGTATTAGAAAGAAGTCAATTTCCTTAATATTTGAAAATTATTGGAAAAAATTACTTCAAATGAAATGATAATAATTATAAAAATTAAAAAAGAATCAATGCGTTAAGTGAAATGTTTTTAAAGAGAATGATTCAGAGAAGAACTTTGTAATTTGTATATACGGTCCGGTCCGACCTCTATAACACGAATCACAATGCAGCAACAAAATTAACTCGTGTTTTACAGAAATTTCACGTTGTAGTATATTAAAAATAAAAAAAAAATATGATGCAGAATACAACAAAATCGGAAAAACGGAGAACCGGAGTTTATGAAAATTTCGTATATCGTATATTTTTTATCGTTTATATACCGTAAAAATTATACATATCGCATTTAAAAAAAATTAATCATCTGTTTGTACTAATTTTGTTTACGATGAAACATCCTTTACGATAATAGATTCTTACGATATTAATTAATAATATGCGAAATTATTTATTTTATGCACAACGAATTTCTAAGCAAGATTGAAAAACAAAAAAAAACTATATTTATCAGCAGAAGACCTGAAAAAGCTTTATTTGACTGCGAAGCAGGTTTAATTAATAGTTTAATATACCGTAATTAATAAATTGTCCAACGCACGTTTTAAAATTTAATATTTTTTTTTTTCCTTTTTTTTTAAAGATAACATCTGTCGAAATTTACATTACAGTAAATCTTTCTTATGTGTTTTTAATTACAAATTAATATTGAATTATAAAAAATATAATGATTTAAAATTAACATATTTAAACAATTGGATAAATATTTTATTTTAGTTTAATTATTTAAAAAAAAAAAAACTTCATAGTTTTTTTCTACATATAAAAAGCCTAAAAATTTTTAAAATTTTATCACATAGTTTGGAAATTTCAAATTATATACATTTCTTAAATAAATTTTGACATAAAAATAAAAATTTATATAAAAATGAAATTTTTATTAGTACTTGGATTATTTGTTGTTGCTTGTTCAGCACAAACTACAGCGCAATCTGAAACAGAAACCTCTTTACAAGCAGCCGTAGATGCAGCAAAACAAGCTTGCATTGATGAAACTGGTGTTCCAGAAGGTATAGGAATAAAATACACATTCGAAATACTATAATTGAATTTTTTTTTTTCAAATAAAAAATTGTAGCGGTCGTTTTAAGAGTTAGAAATTTACAACCAGTTATTTCACGTAAAGGAAAATGTTATGCAGCTTGTTTAATGGACAAATTCCAAGTTGTAAGTTGAATATAATATTAATTTGAGTAAATGTATAAGGCAAAACTAAATACTTAATGGCTTAATTCTTAGAGAATTATTAGAAAACCTATAAAATTTTATAGACAGAAGAATAGTGACCAATAGGTTCCATAACGTATATACTTCTGAAAATCTAGTTGATCTCTGAAAAATGGATTTTCATTAAAACAAATTAATGGATTAAATCGATTTAATCAATACAATATTATCTAAATGTCGCATAATTGATCCTTGCACAAAAAAAAAAACGTAATATCGTAAAAACGTAATATCGTAAAAATAAAAAATACTGTAAAAAAAATTGCTTTCATATCCTCTTTGTTTTGAGTTACTATCGGAGTAATTTTTAGATAACGAGGTTTATAATGAGAATTTACGAGTAATCACTGGATTATAAAAATAATTATCGTAAAATTTTTAAAAAAATTATTATATACACTCATTATTTATTAATCAATTAGTTATGTTTTACGATAATAGTATTATTAGTGGTTCGTTTTTCTGAATAACCCAATAAGTACCCCAACAATATTTCGTACATCAAATCGTCGGTTAAAAGGCAGAAAGCACTAAGTGCATTTTTTGAGGATTCGGATTTCATAGATGAATTAAATCAGAATAATATAATTCTTGTTGTGGCAAAAAATCATGCAAATCCAGAATATAGTCTATAAATCCAGAAATTAAAGAGACCATTGCACTAATTGATTAGTTTTATAATTTTACGATTTTTTCAAATTTAATTTACTCAAAACACAGTTTCCTGACTTAATGCTTTCTGCTTCTTAACCGACGAAATTTTCAACATATTCTAGTTATAACTATCATATAGCTTCATTACAAAATATTATAATTTTCTAATATCGTAAAAATTTTAGATGGATGAAAATAACTATGTTGATGTTGAGAAAACCGTTCAAGTCAATGTACCTGTATTAGGTGATGATCCAGATGTATTAAATGCTGCTAGACGTGTATTCACATTATGTAGTGCAAATTATGAAATGGACAGGTAAACTTAACGACAATTATTTTAATATTTTAATTTTATCACTTTTAATTTTAATTTTAGATGTGATTTCGCTCATAATTTCCTTACATGTATATTCCGTTTTGAAGTAACTTCAAAATTAAGATTCTTATTGTAAAATACACATAAATGACAGTAATTAATCCGAAAAATGATATTAATAATAATAATAATATATTAATAAATTAATTATTATAATATGAAGGCACAAATTGTGATTATCAAATATATAAAAATATGATTTTAATATACATAATATATAAACTGTAAATATTAGAATTTAGAATATTGCTTTAAATGAGTTTTTTATTTGACTATTTAATGTAATAATTAATAACTTTTTGAAACCTTAACTAGAGGTAGATTGTTAAATTTCTTGGAATAATTATAAAAGCCAAGCAAAAAAAATAAAGCAATAATTAGGCCAGAATTTGATAATTGAACAATTAATAAAAATTAATGTGATTTGAAATAATCAAAGCCGTACCAAACAATTCACTATCAACCTAAAAGTGTACTATACATTTTTTCTTTTATAAGAAAATTTTCTTTTCATATATGAATATTTTGGGAAATTTTTCTAAAATATATGCCAGTGTAACTATATTACGAGTATAAGAAGTTGATATGAAAAAACGTTGGTACTCAAAAATTACAATATTGTTTGTTGTAATCTAAATAAAAATTCATAAAATAGAAATTTTAAAATTATGATAATTTTATCAAAAAATTATCAATTATTTGTACCACTCCATAACACATGTTCCACCAAATTTTCATCTAATCTAAAATTGCTCAGAAATTTTTAATAAACTGAAAAAAAATTGCAACTGTTTCAAAATTTTTTAAAAGTTTTCATACAAAATAGTTGAATGGACAGAAACAAAGAAATTATCTATTTTATTTATAATATTATTTAAAACAGTTATTAGCAAATTATTTCAAAGCTTAAACACACATAATGAAAAATTTTCATTAACTGTTCATTTATAATATAAAAGAAAACAAATATTTCGAAAACTGTAATTAAATTATATTCTAACATATACATTCATACATATGAATAAATATATATGTATGTGTTCAATTAAAACAAATAGAAAGGTGCGTCCAATTTCCCTGAATAGGGGTTACTGTAGGTGCAATATAACGATAATGCCCGATAGTCAGACTGCCATAAGGACCCTGGATTCTTGCCAGATTTCCTCTCTGAATGGTGTGGGAGTGCTTCGGCATGCTTAACTGGTTGGGTAAGGATAATCCGGTCACATTGGGGTGGCTGCTAAGACACCTTGGCGTAAAAGGAAATGAGGAAACAGATATGCTGGCGAAGCAAAGGGCCAATTCCTGTTTTGTTGGACCGTAGCCCTTTTGCGGGATTGAATGAGACAAAATCCGTAAAGTGCTAAGGAGTGAAGTGAAGGAAAAAGGGTGAAGCTATAGAGTGCGAGTCCGGGGCTTCCGCAAGTGAAGGTGCTTTTGGGTAAGCAATTATAACCAAAAGCTCTATAAGGTAATCATAATGATGCCGCGGAATCATGTGAGAATTCTCACTGGTTCCTGGTTCGTGCACCATTGCCCTATTCTGTAATCTACAATCTTCAATCTAGTAAAAAGTTGATTTCAATCTAGTAAGAGGATTTTTTTTTATGGAAATTGTGTAAGTAATATACTTTCACTGTAATACATTTTTCATTTGAAATATTTATTTAACATTTGTCCTTTTACTCATTAATTCTATAATTTCTGTTATATTTTCTAAAACATTTATAATTTCTAATATTACCTAATATCTTCTAAAAAATATCGTTAAATACATACATCTATTATATGTATATAATAAATCACTAAAAATTTTATTATGTTATATACAAGAATATTATAAAATAATTGTATTTTCTAAAATATTGAAATTTTAATTTGAACATTTGAATAAATAAATTTTTTATTTTATTTTTGTATAAAAAGTAGAAAATTCAACATTTTTCTTGCATATATAAAGAGGTGAAAATTTCAAATATTTTACTCAATTTTGAAAATTCAAAATAGTTAGTTAAACCCAAAAAATAATTTAAAAAAAAAATGAAATTTTTCTTAGTACTTGGATTATTTGTTGTTGCTTGTTCAGCACAAACTACACCACAAACAGAAACATCTTTACAAGCAGCAGTAGATGCAGCAAAACGTGCTTGTATTGAAGAAACTGGTGTTCCCGGAGGTTTGCTAAAAAAATATTATGAAATTTTTTTAAAAATTTTAACACAAACAATTCATTTACTTAAAAATATTTTTTTTCTGTTCATATTTTTAGATGTCTTTTCGAGAGTAAGAAATTTACAACCAGTTATTTCACGTAAAGGAAGATGTTATGAAGCTTGTTTATTAGAAAAATTCCAACTTGTAAGTTAAAAATATTTTTTTTTTTATTCATTACATTTAGTATAGGCGTTTAAAAATAAGAATTTTATACTACAATAAATTGTAGTAATAAAATATATGCTCTTTAATTTAGCATTTCGATAATTCTGTTCTAACTTAGATTAGAGTAAATCCAAAGTGCAAAATCTACAAAAATTCATATCCGAAATGGACAATTACTTTTAAAGTTCTAAAGTAATTTTTGTGATTTTTATAAATACCGCAAGAAATATTATAAATTAGAAGAACAGTATAATGGACTAATGTTCGATATTAAATAATTACTCGAGTATGTTACAATTTCGCAAGAGCAAAATATTCAATTTTGTGAGACATAGAAGAATTTCAAAATCTAATTTATAATTTTCAGAGCATATCAGAATTACGAAAATTCTCTACTACATACATTTATTTCAGTTTATTCAATTTTCAATTTGCATTTACCAATTTTTAGAATAATAGCTAAGAAGTACAATTAAAGCTTATATGAATTTATAGAATTAAATATTTAACCCATCACTGTTGTACTTATAATACATCTACTAGTAAAAAAAATGAGTACATCATACAATTTGTATGAACAAACTACAGTGCAACTGCAAGAAAATTGAATGAATATTATAATATGTCACAAAGTGTGCATCTTCATATAAACATTTTTTCTTTTAAGTTTTCGCACCACTTTCATTCAAATTTCATTTTCAATTTACATAATACTTAAGATTCATTTTAAAATTAACATTATACAAATTAATTAATATTTGTTTTTAGATTGATGAAAATAACTATATGGATGTTGATGCTGTTGTTGAAGTTAACAGACCTGTATTAGGTGATGATCCAGATGTATTAAATGCTGCTAGACGTGTATTCACATTATGTAGTGCAAATTATCAAATGGACAGGTATAAAAATATATTTTATATATCTAGTTTTATAATAATTAAGTGACATGGAAAATTTTATATTAAAAACTTTCTTTTTCGCACATAATATTATTTTAGATGTGATTTTGGACATAATTTCATTACATGTATATTCCGTTTCCAAGTTACTTCACCATTAAGATTCTTATTGTAAATTAAATGATAATAATTAAATAATCCGAAAAATACTAGAATAATATTAACTATATGAAGCACAAAATTATGATTGTTAGCACATAATTATTATTATTTTTATGTATAACAAAATAAAATTAAAAATTTGGGAAAAAATATTTGAATGAGTTTCATTATATGCAATAACACCAACTTACATAATATTAATATAAGAACTGTGATTTTTTATGTAAATTATTTACAATAGCCTATAAAATGTATGACAAAAATCATATAAAATAAAATTGTATAAAACCAATAATTAACATAAAACAAATTCTACACATTTACCGAAATATAGCAATTTATTGCATACATTTAGGGTGAGTGAAAGAAAAAAGTCTAAAGAAATGTTAAAAATGGCTGAATTGCAAAATTAAGTTAGTGAGTTAAGATAAATAAGTATGTACAATTTTTTATGACATGACATTTACCATTACGCTTTCGTTTTTATAGCTTAATTTGGAAAAGCTTACAATTTCGGAAATACAGGGCGTCGAAAAAGACAATAAAAAAAAAATGTTCTTCTAAAGAAATGAATTATTTATTACTTTCTAAAAGTTGCTAAAATTTCATACTCCTACAAATTGCCGTCTAGAAGAAAAACGGAGGTTAGATTATGGTTGATATTTACAGCCATTTTATCTTTTCAATATTCAATTATGTTATACCGGGATAAAACGAAAGCATTCATGTCGCTATATTTCTGCATTCGCTATATTTGAAAAATGTGTTATCGTTACAATAAATAGTCGAAAATTGGCGTTTTTAAGGCTTTAAGGTTCTACAACTCTATTGAAAAGAGAACTCTATTGAGAATTAGAAGAAAAGAAATAAAGTTGGGTAAAACCAATGGTTTGTATTGTAGCACTTTTTCCCTTCAACAAGTGAAAATTCTGCTTTTAAATACAATCTATGTATACCTATCACACTATTAAAATTATTTTCATTCACATACAAAACTATTACTAGGATTGCATATATTTAGGATGATGCATATAATATGCAGTCTTTGAAATAAAGCAAAAGTTAATATAAAAGTGGGGTTAACATAATGCTCGATTTTAAGGTTTAATTGCGTGAGTTAAGAAAAATAATTATATTTTTAAATGTAATGGAATTTACCGTTAGCTTTTTGCGTTTATAGAAATTTGAAAAAGCTTGCAGTTTCGGAAATATAAGGTGTCAAAAATTCAAATTTTAAAAATTTCCAGAGAAATTTGAAGAGGGGTGGACATGGAAAAAAACTTTCTTCTAACGAAATGAAGCGAATCTTCTAACCAATTCTAACGAATTAGTGTCTAAAAGCCCCTAAAATTTCAAGCTTCAACAGGCTGGGGTCTAGAAGAAAAACGACATCAAAAATTTGTAAAAAAAAAGAACTTTAGATAACGGTAAATTTAAACGTCCATTTTGTTTTTCTAAAGTTTAACTATAGTATACCGCGCTAGGGGAAGCAAGCCTCTGCCTTTACGTGTTTGCAAAATTTCAAAAATGCTTATGGTTTCATTGCAACAAATAGTTAAAAAAGGCCATTTTTAGGGTTTCGGGGGGATATAACTTCTAGAGGGGGGGAGATAGGTAAAAATTTTGTTCTACGGAAATAAGTTTCTAGTAAAGATCTATGTACGTATTAAATTTCAGCTTTTTATCTTTAAGGGTGTAGAAGTTTTGTAAACAAACGCACGGACAGACGAACAGAGTAGAAATAATAAGCACTTTTTTCCCATTTTTCTTTGTGGAAAAGTGCTAAAAAATAGCTCTAATATTCAAAATAGGAGTACCTAACAATTTTTTACATTTTTGTACTTTTTTAAAATTTTGCACTTTGTAAAATTTGCCAAAAAGTTTTAATATCCCTCCTAACTTATTTTGAGGAGGAAAGTCGTATCGAAAATTTTAGGAAAAAATATTCGGACAATAAGAATCATTTTGAAAACTTAATTCAGTTTCTACAAATTTTTGAAACGGCAAAGGTAGATCGCCATTTTATTAGTGTTTTGCGAGCATTTAAATAAGTTAATTTTATTTCAAATAATTTCCAAGTCTTAAAAGGACCTTTACGAAATTCAAGCCATATGAATTGACTTACATTTTTTTCTTTGTAAATAAGAAATTTGCGTATAAGTTATGAATTTTTCTTCGAAAACTAATTTTTTAGTTTGAAATGTATTGAAGTTTTAAAGTAATTTAAAAATAAAAAAAAATAATTTAAAGGACAAAAACAAAAATACACGCTTGCAACTCTAAGAACTGTGAAGGCGAAAATGATGAATAAATAAAATTATTGTTTTAGTTTCATATTTTTATTGCATATATTTAGGATGAATAAAAGAATATAATTGGCAGGAAAAAAAACCGTTAAAATAAATTTTATTTTATTTCTGACTTAATGTCTAGGAAAAATTAAAAAAATTCCGTCTAGGAAAAATAATAGTGTTGATTTGAAAGGATTTAGAAAGTAGAAAGTTGATATTTCGTATTCAAATCGATTTTTGTAAAATTAATTTCTCCAAGAGGGAGTCTTAAGTCTTAACATATTATTTCCTGACCACTTATTGAATCGCAAACGGAAAAAAATTTAAATTCTGTAAGCATATAGAGGATGCGAATTGAATTTTCGAAATTTTCCACAGCAAAATGGAAAGTACCAAACTTATGGTCGTTAAAACTAAAACAAGGATTAAATCACTCTTTTCCGAATTTATACAATAAATTTTTTTTGGATTTTTTTTCTAAAACGGTAAGTTAAAAGAGTCTCAAATTCAATAAATACGAAAAAAATTAATTATTTCAACAAAAAAGAAATCTCCCTTTCCCAATTTAACACCTTTGAAATGAATGAGCATTTGAAATATTGGACAAGTGTAAAGTTAGTAGTTTTCAGAAAGTATAAAATATTCAAGTTTCTATAAAAACGTCTATAAAATTTTTTTTCTGAAACTAATCTAATTAACCGCTGAATTCAATCATGATATTATAATTGAACGATATTTTAATTTTTTTTTCAAAAATATTATTCAAAAAACAAATGGCATTTCCTTTGTAATTGAAAAATACAAACACATTATACAAATTAAAATGACGTAAGTCATCAAAATCGGGTATTTGTTTTTTATTTTGTTTTTTCCTTTTTTTGAGCTTTATTATTAAAAAAAATATAATTTTCAAGGAATATTAATATTATTTACATTATACTATACTTTTATTTATGATATTTTCAATTATTTTTCCTATATTCACATACAATATTGGAGTAATCAAGTATTAAAATCAATATATACCTATATACACAGCGTGTTCCATATTTGTTACAGCGTGTAGGTGTTAATTTGCAAAAAAAAATTATTTGACAAAAAGTTTATTGGGACCGGTTAAGGAGGTAGGGCTTCTGGTTTGGTGGTTTACGTGCCGGGTACAGCAGGACCATCGCACCTCAATTAGTGCAAGTTTGTGATTTTTCTACCACTACCCGATGATCATCAGACCGTTATTGAGTCAAAGCCACCTGGTTCTCTTGAGAAATTCATCTTAATACCCGATAATAATTTTCGTTATCTTTTCCAGCCCCACAACACTTGATCTTCCCCAATCGATCACCTGATCACTTGTGTTTAGCACCTTATATCAGTCTGGCCTCGCCCAGAGCCGAACCCTTGCAGAGTTAAAGAAAGATATTCTCCTCCTAGGTGAAAACTCAAGATATCAAAAATTTCTTTTTGGCTGACTTTATTGAATACATACTCTAACTTTAGCTATTTATGTGTTGTGTGTAACGGTACACTTATATAAACACTGCAAAGCTTAAGCAGTAGGCTACTTAAGAAAAACAAAAAATTTCACAGTACAGGCACTAAAATCATTCAATGAGCCTATGAAACTTTTTTTAGTTGTTTTTATAAATACCGATATTTTTTTCGTTGACGTAATATAACAGTCTTCAAAAACTTTACAATATTTTAGAAGCCCTAGCTTTTAAACCTGTTTTAGGTTTAAAAATAAATCTGTAAAATAATACATATTGTTTTTAAAAAGCAATGTGGTTTTCTTCTATAATTTTTATAATTTTAAATAAAATCGAAATATTGTATGACACTGCACTCCTTAATATTTTCACAAATTTTCGACCATTATTGAAATTTCCAGAAATCATGAAAATTATAATGTTGTTATAATTAATTATGAAACAATTATACTGTCGTTTACACTAAGAAAAACTAAATTTCTCAATCATTTAATAAAATTTTGAAGATGCTAATCTTGTAGCTTAAAAAAATAAATTTAATTGAAATTCGGCTACATTAATCAACTTGCTAAAAATTTTAACTTTTTCCAAGTAGAAAAGGTTTAAGAAAAACATTTGAATAAATAAAATTTTACTTATTTATTTAATAGAAAAAATTATTAAAATTTGTTCGAATATAAAAGCATTTCCCACTTTTGAAAATTTCCTATTTTCTTTGAAATTATTAAATAAAAATTAACTGGGAAAAATAATATATAAAAAAATAATGAAAATTTTATTAGCGTTGGGATTACTTATAACAGTTTGTCAAGCAGGTTTACTCTCAAACGTTGTAAACCAAGCTTTACATGCGTTAAAACTGAAAGCAAATGCAGCAAAAGCAACTTGTTTATTGGAATCAGGAGCACCACAAGGTTATTTTAAAAAAAATTTTAAATAATTTGAAAACTTCAATTTTTAATTTGTTTTTTTTTTTTCTTTATAATATGTTTAGATATTGTCACTGTTGTACGAGATTTATTACCAGTTACAACACGTGCAGGTTTATGTTTTGAAGCTTGTTTAATAGAACAATACGATGTGGTAAATCAAAATTTTTATTTCAACTAAATATATAGTTATAAAATTCACAACTTAAACAAAATAATTTTATCGGATAATTTCTTTTCGGCCAACATTAAGACACAACTTATAATTAACGAAGCCAACTAATTTCAAATTTACAGAACGAAAAATATGAAAATTTCTTTTTTATACAGAATTTATCTGCAAACATAAATAGCTGCAGATTTCAGATTTGCAAATATATTCGAAAGTATCATTCTTTAATTGCTGTCAAAAATCGCTTATTCGTTGTTCAACCGTATATATTTCGATTCACAATTTTTATAATTGACAGCTGTCAATGAAATACAAATGGACGCGAATTAAAAACTTAATTAATCAGATCCTAAATATTCCTAAAATAATTTTTTTATCTTTGATTAAAATAAAACTTCTTTAATTTTAGATGGACGAAAATAATGTAATCGATGTTGAGAAAACTGTTCAATATATGATTCCTGTAATTGGTAATGATCCTCAAGTAATACAAGCTGCTACAGAAGTAGTTCAAACATGTAGTGCAAATTATCAAATGGATAGGTAATTTGGATTTTGAATAGATTGAATGTGGTGAATTAATGTAATTATTGAATCATTTTAGATGTGAATTCGCTCATAATGTAATTGCATGCTTATTGAGTTCTCCCGTAACAGCAGGATTAAGCGTTTTATTATAAATGTCAATTGAATTCTATTACCAAAATGATAATACAATATTTTATGTGTAATGTGCTAAATAAATTTTTAACAATTATAATTTTTATTGATTGTCAAACGACTGTCAAAGGCATTTAATTCAATTGTATTTTTACTAAACATTTTTTTGTTAAGATCGTTATGCAATATTTTTATTATTTACACAAAAATATTGTTTTGAAAGAAATGATTAAGGGTTAGACAATAATGTAATATTTTTTTATATACATCTGTATTAATATAAGAACAAGCCGTGTTATCTACTTCAATCTTTAATAGCAGATGGCGGTGATCAAAATTTGGCAGCTGTTAAAATTTCACAGCTATTAATGAACTAAATTTGGTTTTCCTTACTACCTAAATGTTAGTCATCTTAAAAAAAAGCTGAAAGAATCATTAAAGCGAAATGAAACGGCAACTGAAGTAAGAACAAATATTAGTTATGTAGCACTCTTATCTTTTCGATATTAATTAATTATCCTACAAGTATGCAAAATAGAAAATATAATTTATTTTTAATTACTCACCTTCAACCTACATTGGTTCTACAATTCACACTTAACATTTAAATATTTACTTGAAATTTAAGTTGTAACCCTTATTTAACCCTTTATTTTTAACTCTTAATTCATTGCCCTAATTCCTTCAAAGCAACTAATACTACTTTACTTTACACACAATTAATATTTTGCTTTTCCAAATTTTGGTGTGTTCTGGCTTTATTCGAAAAATTGTAATGTTCAATGTTTTTTTGAGTGTAGGTTAATCAAATTAAATTATGAGCAAACCTTATAAGATTAAATATTTTTTATATTCCACACAACAAAGAAAATGGCGGATAACGGAATAGCAAATTTTTTTTACTGTAATTATTACTGTAATTAGGATGATCCGGTTTAGGATTTCTGTGATAATCTAATAATTTTTAAAATATTTTTACTTCCGTGGTATCGTTCATTGACCTATGGGTACACGTGCTTAAGGAAAACAATTAAATTCTGCCAGACAACAATGTAATATTTTATGATAAACATAAATATTTTAATGTATACAGTCGAACTCTTTCAATTCAAACAAATTTTTTATTTAGTTGACATTCTGAAATTGGGATTTTGCTTATTTTGATTTTTGTTTGTTTATTAATACAAAATAATACTGATGAGAAAATGCAATGCTACTTATTCTCTATTTAAAAGTTCGGCTTATGGAAACCTTTTAGGAAATGCATTTTTCTGACTTTATTGATTTATAACATATAGAAGCGGGAGGCAGAGAAACATCTAACCTATCTATTTAATGACAGTATCGCGCAAACAATAACTTATGTAATTAATTTCTGCTCTTTATCTTCAATCACGTACCTGTATTGTGCACGAATGAAAACTTTACAAACGTCCAGATAGGCGAACTGACGCAATCACGGATAAATAGACGGATAGACTTAGAGATAGACGGCCAGGCATAGTGAAACTACCAAGCACAAATAAAAAATAATAAAACATAATTTTTTTAACTCTAAATCCACAATCCGTTCGGAGCCCGAAAGAACTCGTTTGTGAAATTTCTCTCTATGTAAAACAAATTCCGTACGGATTTCAAAATAAGGAAAATAACTAAAACTAAACAAAACATTCGAATTTAACCGATTTGTTTTCGTCATTTAAGTTATTCGTTTAAGCTCTTATTATGTTTTGCATTTTTTTCGGAAACTTGTAAGCTTTCCGTTTCAAAACCAGTTATTTAGAAAATCTCTATAATATATTTAATATTTGTTTTAGGTTCTACAAGTATGTTAGCTCGAAACATATTATAGAAAGATTTTTAACATTTTTTTTAGAGTTCAATTTATTAGTTTAAATATTCGAACATTTTGATCATCAGAGGTAAACCAAGGTCAAGTAAAATAAACAAGTACATTAAAATATGACATCAATATAACGTTAGACAATAAAATTAGTTTGCTAAGAGCAAATTTAGAGGAAAAAAAAAATATTTTAAAAAACTTAAGCAAATTCGGGTTTTTTTCTTTTCTTTTGAATTTTTTGGATTGTGTTTAACATTTTATTTATTTTATTTAAAAACTTATTTTGTTTTCATAATAATTAAACAATAAAAATAAATTTTTATAAAAATTTTAAAAATAAAATAAATATTTTTTTTTCGTTAGCAATATTTTTCTATTTTTATAATCAGGGATGACAATTTGAAATATTTTAATAGAAAATTATATTTTAAGAAAATCATTAATATAAATTTCCCGGAATACAACACAAAAAGAATCGAAATTACCCAGACGTTTTACGTTACACTCCGCGCATTTTCTTTATAAGAGCTGCTAACCTTTGAAAAAAATCTCTCAAGAGAATGTACTCGTACTTAGAATCTGCTTAGAATATTCTCTTTTTAAGAATCTCTCTAGAATTTACAAGATGTGTTGTTTGTGGCATTCAGCAAGAAACGGAGTGCAAAATAATTGTTATTCAATAGAAACTTTTAAATTTTAATTTTAATATCATTTCTAATTTTCTTTCCGAAATTAATAAACAATTGCCCCTGATGTCATATAAAACATCCTTATATTTCTAATATTAAAACCATCTGAATAAATAACTTTTATGAGTAAAAGTATTTTGACTTCAATAAGTCTAAACTTTTTTCTGCTTATATAGAGGTTTCATTTATCAAAATACTTTACTCATTTTGTAAATTTCAATTCCAGCACTTAACAGTTAGAATAAAAAAAATAAATAACAAAATGAAGACTTTATTCTTATTTGGATTATTGATTGCCGCTTCTTCAGCAAGCCTTCTTGGTGATATTGTAGGAAATACAATAATGGCATTAAGAGCAGATATTGCTGCAGCCAAAGCAAGCTGTTTAGCTGATCTTGGCGGTTTGTGACCAGAAATTTCTAATTTTTACCATTAAAAAATTTAATCAAAAAGAAATTATTAAAAAAATTTTTATTCTACTATTATAGGATCTTGTTTTGAATCTTGTTTACTCAGTGAACTTGGAATTGTAAGTCATAAAAATCTTGGAATTATAAATTAATTAAAATCTTATACTCTTTTTAGTCTGACGCAAGCGGTGGCATTAACATCGATGCATTTGTTTCAGTTGGAGCAGCTGTTTTTGGAAGTGATGCATCTGTATTAGATGTTGCCGCAAGTGTTGCAGCATCATGTGCCATTGATGCTGGAACAGACAGGTACTATTTTTTTTTTATTATTTTTGTTTTATCCGTGAAAATCTTTAACACGACATTTTTAAACATTATTTTAGTTGTGAATTGGCAAATAATTTCATTACATGTTTATCAACTAATTCAGTGACAGCACAATTTGTATTCTTATTGGTGTAAAAAATTATAAAGACTATATAAAATATGCGACTTAACAAAAAAAAAAACGTTTTTTAAAATAATTTAATAAACTATGCAAAAATTATAAAAAAGCGAACATTTTATTGCATTTCAGTGAACTTTAATATTTGTAGTAAGAAAGAAACTTTTGTTGCCGAAAAATTATTTACAAGCAAATCGAATAAATTATGTAACACATATACGTCTATTTTGCAAAACCATTCTCTTTGAATCTACGTTGAACTGTGAACACTGGGCTCATGCATAAATTTTTACAAACAGAAAAAATTCTGACAATGGGAAGAAGTTTTTGAAAAATAGCAGTTTAAGTAGGAAAGATGTTCCTATTAGTTTCATGTTGCCTATTCAAGTTTTACGAATGCAAGTTTATAAATTGATTTTAAAATTTAATCGTCATCTCAAACTGGCTTTTCTCTTATTTTCTAACTATTGAGTAATGTAAAATTTCTTTGTACTTACTATTGCCCCCAAACTATTATTCCAGAGAGTTTCCAAAATGTCATATCTCTTCTACATACTTCGTCAATACTATTCCATAAAACTTTACTTTTACACCTAAAGGTTAACACGTTATATATATATATATATATAAGTTTATGCTAATATAAACTTTTTTAAAATTTAGTTTTTTAAATTCCTCCTAAATTTATGCATAATTTTCATTTTTAACAACTGAAGCTACATAATATATTCATGCTAGATTTGCAATCTTAAAGAAAATTGTGCTTATAACATATAAACTTTGAGTTTCAATGAAGGCAGTACTAACATTATTTTCCTTTTTCGTAAAACAATAACTAAATCCTAGTAAAACAATGAACGCGCATGGTACCTCCTAAACAAATTCAGAAAATTTTTGAAATATGAAACCTTTTTCCAACATTTTTAATGTTGAATTCGTGGGATAATGTTATTTTCGACAATTAAAAGCTCTGTAATTTTTGTTCAGAGACATATTTAAAGATTGACCGAGTAAATTCCCTAGTTCTCTTTTCTATATCATTTCATATTTTTGGGATTTTTTTTTTCCATTAAGAAAACTTTCGTACAATAGACGGGAATTAAAATTAAATTCTCTACCCCTTTAATTTATTTAAATAGTAAAAAATTAATATTCACAAATCAAATTTCTACGTCAACCTTTTTCAATAATTTTTAATTGCTAATTTTGCAAAACATAATTTTATGCTTTTTAAGAAATAAAAAAATTGAAACTTAACACATTGAGTACCGTTAAGAAAATCTAAAATGCTTCGTAGACCCTGTGCTCATCGATGAATATGAAGATGGCCTACAACATTAGTATATACATCTTCTTAAAATTTAGGAATTACTCCTCTGATACAGGTTGCACTTAACGTAAGTTTTCTTTTTGTTCACCTGTTATTATGAGCATGGATGTTAACGTGTTAAAGTATAGACTTTAATCGTCATCCTAACAATAAAAAAAAGAATAAATATTCACAAATGTTTAAACAGAATTTATTAAATTATTTTTGAATCGTTTTGAATAGAAAATTGGTGCTAAAATTAACCCTAAACAGAATGGTGCATATAAAACAATCGGAGCTTTAATATTGATATGATGAAAAAAA